ACCCCTCATTTTGCTTAGAATTTCTTGCTCTTTCGGATGACTATATTTTGAAATGTTTTTCTCAAGTGCCTCTGGCACTTGATTTTGGAGCACTTCGGTTTTTTGTAAAACTTTCTAAGGAAAGTTTTTTTGGGAATTTTTATCTATACTGTTTTCGATAGAGAACTTCAATGGCTATCGAAATCACTATTTAGATTTGATCTAGCTATTTGTCTTCATTGAAAAGTCTCAACGACAAAAGGGGGGCTATAATTTTGTTATACCCTGTATATAGAGATACGTTAGTTAGCAAGATGAGGGATTAAGAAATATTTAAGAAATGCACGAGAAAAACTTCTACAAAGCAAGTAAATGAAAAAGCATTTATAAATAAGTATTATGCGTGACATTGAGAAAATCTCTTATCAAAATTCATAGGAGAATGAAAAATGAAATACAATAAAGTTTTTTCAACATGCTTGTTATCCTGTTCTCTAAACAAAAGTTTAAACATACGTAGAACGACTCATGTAAAGAGAAGATGACATAATTTTCCTAAATACAGCACAGTAATCAGCAGGAAAAAAAATCATTTTCGGAAAAATTTTCATAGTAACGAGTGACTTATGGAGAATGTCTCTCTGAATATTTATGTAATAGCTCGACTGCATTTTTATGTATTTAAACAACTTTTTTAAATAAAACATTCGTCGTTCAATTCTCTGGAAAAACACTTATTTCCATTTGTCTACATGTTTGAAATAAATAATTAGGATCAAGGTCACAATTCTCACAAAACAAATCGGACGTGTGGAAAATTAAGTTACAAGCTCATTGAAAAAGCATACAATTAAACGCGCTATATTTTAGAGTATTTATAGAAGTGTTGACCATTAGGCAGAGAATTGAAAGATAGATCTTTTATTTAATAAAACAAAGTTGTTCAAATAGGTTAAAATCTCGTCGAACTATTACAGATATACTAAGAGAGTCATTCATTATGGGTCATCTATAATGTATTCATGAAAAGTTTATTATGTTGAATAAATATAAACAAAATTGAATACATAAACAAAATGTTTTTAAAATATTTTCATAGCCAAAAAAAAAATTTATCTAATAATCTTTATTTTTTAATAATGAAAACGCATGATTACGCAGAATTATAATAGAAAGAAAAAAAAAAATTTAAAAGATATTAACTAAAGACAAGATGTATTATAGACTATAAAACCATTTTCATAAGATAATGAAAAGAAATGCATATCACTAATTGAAATGACAACGGTACAAACAACTCATCAATATATATCAATGTAGAGAATATCTGATAAATTCCATAAGACGTTTCAGAATTTTTAGATTATAATAGAAAAATTATGAGTAATTTTTATCACGAGATATGTATATAGGTACATTTTGATATAATAATAAATAAAAAGCACTAGATAAATAAAAAGACATAACTTGACATATGGCTGCCACTCGTTCTAAAAAACAAATTTTTTCATGATATAATATCTTCGTCTTTATATTTGGAACAAAACGTATTATATATATATTCATAAAAATAATATAGAAATCAGTACAATTATTCGCAATCAGTTATATATATATATATGCGTTGTTTCTATTGCAAGAAAAACAAAAGTGATATCCCATGATTCAAATAACATGATTTTAGTTAATCATAATCATATGCTCAGACTCACTCTTTAATTCTTAATAATTTTTACATGATATTATCTTGTATATATCATTGAATAATCAATAACAATGATCGGCACTTCTAAAAGCATCACAGATCGAAGAAACACATTCCATAAACGATCATATTTCTCCATATACGATGCGGAGAAATATGGTCGTATGCGATAAAATACAGTGTGTATACAAATTTCTTATTCTTTGTTCTG